CCCTGGAAGTCACTTTGACGGTGTAGCCAAACGACCTGAAAAGGAGCCTCTCCAGAGCTTTGATCTGAAGAAGTGGCCGGGGACGTGCACAGAAGAACCATGGTGATTGGGTTCATTGCACACTCAACTTGGCAGCATAAGTGTGTGTGAGTGCGTGTGCAGTGTACAGCAAATGGGATCCTCACACTGACACTAGCTCTGCAAGGTGCTTCTCACTGCGAAGCTCTGTTTATAGGACAAGGCTTAATTAAATGTTACTAAATATTAACTACAATACTTGAATAGGCCTACCGTGAAATAGGCTGTGTCTGCCTATGCGGTCCCCAGGATCTCTTTGGACCCACTCTGCGGGCCTCCTTGCTTCCAGTCGCCCCCTCGTGGTCGGTTGCCAACACTGCAGCCAGTAGTCCTTCCATTTTAAGGCTGACCTTGGTCTCTCCATTCCGGGTGGCTTTCACCCCACCCCCCCAAGGAGGGAGGGAGGGAAGAAGGGAGGGAACGCCCTGCGTGACTTTCTTCCATCCCACCCTCCTTTCTAATATATCAGTATCCCTCCATTGGGCTCAACTCCTTGCCTGCTGCCCCCTTACATCTGCTCCGTTCTCTTCCTGAAGGAATGTATGGACAATCGGTCTCACCTCCCCCGCCTTTGCTTCTTGAAACACAGTCCAGAGCATGGTACAGCTTGCTTTTTGGTTCCATTATAGCTCCCTGCTTGTCCCACACACTGGCTCAGGAGACTGGGGCTGGAGAGCTGCGTTTCCTTTGATGAGATATTTTAGATGCTTAGACTCTGCGGCTGACTCTCAGTGATGTTTACTAAATAGACGCATGGTGACTTTTTTTTGTGTGTGTGGCTTGAACAGACTTTAAAAATGTATCTTGGCCTTCTTAAATAACTTCTTGCATTGCATAACGTGTTGTATAAGTGTTTTTATTACCAAAATAATATGGAAGACCTACAGTAGTCTGATGTGCTCTCTCTGGTCTCCATGAGCTGTGGCTTTTCTTCTGTGTGCTTCCCGAAGTCTCTGACAGGATCTCCTATCCACCCATCAGCTTATCCTTTGTGTGTCTTTTCTGTATTCCTAATGTACGTCTGTACGGCTCCATGCCCATAGTGTGTGTCCCATGCGGTTTTAGTGCTGACTAACTTTCCCTTGAAGTAAGTATTCCAGCGTCCGGACGCGCTTCCCTCATTCAGCTGACAGATTGCCGGTTGTCTCCTCTCTTCTTCCCACAGCAACACTGTAAAGCTCACCCTTGTACACATGGTGTAACTCAACCATATTAAATCAGTGATTGCGGTATTGCTGAAGGCAAGGGGAGTTATGCAAGGAGAGTGACATCTGCTGAAATGTCACATCCATCAGCACAAGTCTCCTTATCCGGTGAAATGATCTCGTGACGCGTCACCTCTGAGGGGAGCCACCCCACCCCCAGCCTGGGGAGTTGTACGGCCCACAGCAGTAGGGGCACCCCCTGTGGGACAAGGAATGACTTTATCAGAGACAGCTCATGCCACTACACACAGGCCATCTCAGCTACCTGATTAGAAGGGCAGCAAGTGCTCCATCTTCAAGATGGACTCCTGTCCAAGGTGGAGAACCTATGCAGCCATGCTGAAGAAGAGGTCAGCACCCATGCCCGTCAGAAGGGTCTGGAGCCCACAGCACCATCTGCCCACGAAAGCCCATGGACGCGAGGGAGAGGCCAGGTGGACACACTAATTGGTTACCAGGTTCTGCAGCCATGGGTACACCATACCCTGTTACTTGTGACCAGCTCTCCAATGGTCCTTTGTGGTTCCCAGGGGCTACAAGAAGTTGTACATCTTGGTGTTCTAGCACAAACTGCTACTGAGTGACTTGCTACCAGCTGCCATCCTCCTGTCCCTGGAGGGCAGTGTCGAGACTGGACCTCTTTGAGAGTGAACCACAGAGAAGCTGTCCCCATGTAAGGGGTCACTGAGGTGTGAATACCGTTCTCACCTGAGGTTCCTGAGGACAAGTAAGACACTTGGTATCGTGGCTGAGATTCCCAGCGAGCTTTCCTGCGGCTGCTGTGACCCTCATAAATGCTGCCACACCTCAGACTCCGGGGTTTCGACTTGATTTACAAAGTCACGTTACGCTTCTACAACATTAAGGACCCTGGAAGAGCCAGATCAGCGTCCGCTTCTAATTTATTACAGACGCAAAGCCTTATCGTGCGCTTCTGCCACATTATAGCCCCGTCAAAGAGCGAGATCATTATTACAGACACGCAGACAGAACTGGGTTGTGTTTCTTTCTGTGTGTATTCAGCATCCAGTAGTACGATTCGGTGGCGTTTCAGTCCTGACTCCTCTCTTGATGACAATGCTAAGGAGACAAACTTGATTACCAGAACCCTGGGAAGGTGCTGGCCTTGCTGGGCTCAGGGCTGGGACCACCCTTCCATGGGAGCAGGGTAGCACCAACAATGGGGAAATGCACCATGTAAGCACGCTTGTGATGTGTCTCGTGTATAGGTACATGTATACACATGTGTGTGCACATGTGGTATCACAGAGGACTAGTGTGTGTGTGCCAGTACATGCATGTTTGTACATATAATGCATAAGGTGTGTATGCATGTCATACTAATCTATGGTTGGAAGTGACTGTATGCATGTGATGGTATTTATGTATTCGTGTGGTATGTACATGTGTATGTGTATGCACGTATGATATGAAGCATGTGTGATATACATGTGTGCTTGTGAATGTGTGTGCTGTGCACATAATGTCTGTGTGCAAATACATGCAATGTGTGTTCCTGTGGTATGTGGTGTATGCATCTGTATGCATGTGCTGTGTATGCAAACATATTCATGTGCAGGAATTTTTCTGTACTGAGAAGCAGAATATGGTATCCGACAGCTAAGTAATAATTAATCATTTTTTACATCAATGTTTTAGGACACCATTATAAATATGTGCTTTTATATAAGAATATAATTGAATTACAGACAAAACTGCCTTTCACCCCTATGGGTGTGTATGTGTGTGTTACTATCTCTAAACGTGGTTTTTCATAAAAGGTCACCCTACTGCCATGATCATCTGTACGGTGTGGCTAGCACCAGACCCAAAGCACTTCCTGTCACAGGTCATGGTAAACACGGGCCATCGGGATTCACTGTGAAGAGCAGGTGGCGTGTGAGGCTTCAGTTGAACAGGTTGTGTGCTGTTCCCCTGTGTAGCTCCTGTGAAGTGGGCACTCACCCTTGTTTCTCCCTTCAGTCTGAGTGGCCCCGAGGAAGGTCACAGTTAGGTTCCTGCCACAGAGGCTGGGGTCAGGGTCATGAGGCAGCCGTGTCCTCCCTGCCCTGGATGAGCTGCCACAGAGACATCTCTTACCCCACAGGAGTGAGTGCATCTCCCCTGGTTACTATAGCAACAGGTGATGAGAGCTATATGGGAGCACAGCTGGAGAAGCTGGTCCCCGGAACTGCCAGTCACACACAGCGTGAGTATGCTGTATCCTTCCAGAGGTGCTAATGTTGCTAAAGTGCGTACAATTTTTAGTGAAACTTTAATTCTTTTTATCTTAGAAATGCTTCCCCCCATTTCCCATGCCAGCACGCATATCGGCACAGTCAGCATCACCCCCACCCTGTGTCTGTAATAGTGTCTTGAGCCGGTTACCTATTGCCTGGCGTTATATTGACGGCTGTCCCTCTCTGCTGAGCCACGGTTAGGGCACAGCGGTGTTAGCCTGTCCTCTCTTCAAAGCCTCCTCAGCCCTGCCTTGCACGGTTCTCAGAGTGTGCAGGGTTGGCGCATGCTGCGGGCTTGCACGCTTCCTGGTATTTTCCTGTTTGGCTCATTATTGGAAACTTAACTGGGGTATTTACTATTGGTGTTCAGGATCTCTGAGCGATGCTGTAGGGCACAGAAGAAACCGGGAACACTGAATGCAATGTATGATGTAAGCATGAGTATCCCAAAGTGACCGAGAGGTAGTTACAGAAGTCAGGTCAGTCACAGTTTCTTTGTGTGGGATTCAAGTTATCTGAAGAGGCTGATTGAAATGAACAAAACCAAAAGCCAGGGCCAGGCTGAAGCCTGGATCATCCAGACTGGAGATGTCCCCTTAACGGCACGAATAAAACATCCCACATACTCCTACCATGGTGGTTGATTTTGATGGTCAACTTGATGGGATTTGGAATAACCTAGAAGACACATCCCCCCCGGGAGACCACGAGCATTTCCTGTGAGGCTCAGCTACAGTTCCAACCCAATGCCGTTGATTCCTGCCTGCTGCACCTCTCTTCAGTCCCGAGGTGGAGGGCTCAGTCTCTGCTAGGTCCTCAGTTCTCTCACCTGACCATCCCGGCCCCTGCTGTGTCCTGTCTGCTAGCCACAGGGCACACGCTGGTCTCAGTACAGGCATGGACACGACTCTGCCGACATTACTCTCATCAAACACCTTTCCTAGATAGTCTTAGATCGGCCGCTGCCACAGTCTCACCAAGGATATTATTACTAAAAGCAACCATATGGTCCTAGAGAGCTTTCTAATAATGTGATAAGAGACCATGACCAAAAGAAAAAAAAAGAAAAAAAGGCAAGTTGGTAAGGAAAGGGGTTTAAAATAATTCATCCTGGTGGGGCCCTGGAGGCAGGAGTTGATACAGAGTCCATGGAGGAGGGCTGCTTACTGGCTTGCTCCTCATGGCCTGATCAGCCTGCTTTCTTATACCACCCAGGAGCATCTGTGGAGAGTACACCACACTCAGGGAACTGGGCTCTCCCACATCAATCACTAATCAATAAAACACCCTACAGACTACCTACAAGCCAGCCTTACAGAGGCATTTCCAACATGGAGAGCTTGTGTAGGGATGACAAAGTACTCGTCAGCTCATAAACCACTGAAAAATTAACTTCATGAGCTCAACTAAATGTAAATATTAAAATTTAATTACATAATCCTGAGAAGCAAGGGGCTAAAGAAAATTAAACATCGTGTGGCCCCCTTACTATTGCTTCCTCTCTAAGTACCTACTGGCTGCTAAACCCTGTGTTCTGCTTATGTCTTGCGGTGACTTTTGGGTACCTGTTTGTCTTTTTGCACAGCGGGAGATCTGATTTCAGGAAGTGACTCAGACCAAGGTCAGGCCAATGTGGAACCAGTGGGGGTCATACAACATAAAACAGAGCAGAGGTTGTTTAGAATGCTCCTCTCAGTGGAGGGTCCGGGATTCACCAGGAAGTTCCATTCACATGCAGAAATGAGCAGGCTGGAGGAACCCTGATACCTTAGATTCCCGTGGAGCAAACAAGGTTTCTGAGCTCTGGGTGCCTCTGGGCATATGGTTTCTTAACAGTGGTCTCCAGGGTGGAGTGGGACCTCCCTGGATATTGCTCTGAGGTGTCCTAATGCTTGTGCCACACGTAGTCTGGCTAGGCATCTCTGCTTGGGCTTCCAATGCCTCTGCTCATCCTTCAAGACACCCGCCTGCAGCCCAGAGTCCTAATGCCCAGGGTGTGGCACAGGTCACGCTGTGACCCTCCCTCCCCTTACTCCAGCATTCCCCCTGCCTGTGGAGGATTTCTCCAGGCCCTTTGCTCTCTCATAGTTTGGTCACTGGTGAGGTGGTCTCATGCCTTCATGTTGCAGTAGACTGTTTCCTTCTTCTCTGGGCACCAAGCCTTTGCGGTTTGTTTTCTGTTTCTGACTTGGCCTTTATTCCTTCGGCATTTGCCAGTGTCTAGGAACATTCCAGAACAGATACCTCAGTCAGGTGCTCAAGCCAAATGACAAACAGCAGTGGGATTATTTAACCCTCCCCGTGACACAGCCCAGAGACTGCGTCAATGCCTTTGTGGATTATCTGAGCTTAGACCGAGGCAGGAAGCCATGAGAACATTCTGTCACCAGCTTCTCATCCTGGGAAACTCAAGGACAAAGGGTCTTGCATTGCTGTAGGTTTCAAAGATATTTCCTGGGCGTTCTGGGTAAATTGAGCCACACCATATCTTTAAAGTCCTGAAGCAAATAGGACTCCTGCCCAGCTTCCAGAGAGATACTTCTTAACCAGAGGCCGGTTCCTTATTTCTTCTTCTTTTATAGGCAATTAAAGATCTGTTGTTCAAAAATATAAGTGCATAAATGCAATTATTTTCCTCCAATGTCTCCATGATTGCATTCAGTTTGTCCTTTAATGGCACATGAAAAAGGATCCTTTTTCTTGGTCTCTTCTCGTGGCCTCCTTTAGAACAGCAACTATGGACTCAGCTCTGGTTGCCTCACCTCCCTGTGCCTCTGCTGTGGGGGTTGATTTTTCTCAGGGAATAACTAAGAGAGACCCAAAAGCAAATGAAGGGTCCGGGGCCTTCCAAACCTGCCTCCAAGCCCCAACACAGTTTTACTTATGTGGCCACAGAAGACCTAGGCATGAAGAGGAACCAATCAGGTCTCACAGACGTGACTAACAGAGACCTCAGGAGGCATGGGAAGACCCTTTGTCAGTGGCTATTGGCTCTTCCGTGGGATGTCACCAGAGTCCCACAGATGAAGCTCCCTGGGTACCAATGCCTCAGGCAAGCTGCTTCAGGAGGCATAGAAAGACCCTTTGTCCGTGGATATTGGCCCTTCCGTGGGATGTCACCAGAGTCCCACAGATGAAGCTCCCTGGGTATCAATGCCTCAGGCAAGCTGCTTCTTTTCTAATGTCTGCCTGCTGATGTCTCCAGACACAAGTTCACTGCAGATAAAGATGGCCTGGGAAGGCCCACGAGTGGGGCTTTTATCGCCCTGGATTTAATGCTTGGCCTGAGGCTTCTTGGTCCATGGTGCCCTAGAAATGCCCCAAGGTTGAGCATCCTGAAGGAGGCAGGAGTATTAACAGTGACTTCGGCTATGCAGACACAGGGACAACTCTCTTGGTATGTCACCTGGCAGGGGCAGCAGGCAGGAACTGGACTAGGACACACATGGAAGAGGGTATCCCCGGAACCTGTTTGGGCAGTAGAATCTTCCCAGGCAGATTCTTCTAGGAGGTAGGGCTGGCTTTGCCTGACCTGAGAGAAACCATTAACTCTGAGATGGACGTGAGGCTGTTGGCAGGATCCTGAGAGTCCTTGGTATGGGGGGTACCCCAGAAATGACCTCAATGAGGATAGGTGGGTGGTGCCCTTTCTCAGAGGCCTTGACACAGACCCGTCAGCACCCTTTGGGGGTTCCAGGTGTGAGCTGCCTTTACTGGAAAGTTTAGGTGGAATATTGTATTACTCTTCACATTCATTTTTATGAATAATGAAACAGAAACGGAGCACTCAATGAGAGGTAATATTGACACATGAGAAACAAGCAGCAAATGAGAGGTCAGAGCTCTCACCAGTTCAAACAGGGAGTCAGCAAGCTGAGGCAGGGGTGCTCTGCCCTTGGCATCTTCCCCTGGCCTAGCACCCCGATAGTCCTGTAGTCAGCAAGAGCCCCAGGGCTTCGAGGGCTCATGGAGGGCAGAGATGAGTCTGTGAAGGCCCAGGCCCCACAGGGCATCATCAACCATGGAGACAGAGGAAGCTGGCATGTCCCTCAGTGTCTGGAAGAATGAGTAAGAACAGCCTCAAGCCTGGGGAAGAGCCCTGTGAGGGAGAAGCTGTGGGGCTCACCTGGGGAAAGGAGGAGTCTGGGTGTGGATGTGTGAAGCCCCAGAGGGAGGGGACGGCTCTGCTGAGTGGCACAGATGGGTTTCCACACTGAGGAGCAGCAGGGTTGCCAAGGAGGTGGTGGGGACGCAGGACGTCTGAAAGAGGAGCCACCAGGCTCCAGGCCTGGCAGATGCCTGGCAAGGACACGGTCCCAGAATAGCAGGCGATACTGCAGTCTCTGAAGCAGGCCAGACAGAGGATTCTGCCACTCATTTTCTCTGTGGGACATTGGTTCCTCTGTGTCTTTGAGGCTGGTTCCTAGAACTGTGCAGACACCAGCAGTCGAGAAAGCTTGGGCCTCTTAGGCAGGTGACCTAATACCTTTGCAGGACCTTCGGACATCATCCCGGACAGCTCGCTTGACCCTGCTGTGCACAGAGCACACGTTTTCCCAGTCCAGGATCTGTGTGGTCACACTGTACCTTCTTTCTCCTTTCCACTCTTGTTTGTGCCCCCATCCATGACATTGTGGCTTTGGACATAGAGCCTTCTGGCACAACTCTGCAAGTGTCCCCGAGTTCCTGTCCAGAGACAAGACGGGTGGTTCTCAGTACATACACTCAATTGCTCCCAGGAGTCTGGCTATACCGCGAGAGTGGGGCCAACTACCTCTGCTCACCCACAGGTGTCTGTCTCTCCCGAACACAGCCCTCTTGCTGAGTGTCAAATATTATATTAGTGTAGTTTTAATTGGATTTCCTGGGTTAATAATGAGGTAAAATCTCTTTCTACTCATAGACCTGTTCCTGGGGCTAGGGTTGATCAAGAGGTCAATTAACGAAATAGATTAATACTGAGGAGGAGAAGGAGATCTATTCAGTGTGGTCACACTGGGAAGAGAAATAAAGGGGCCCAGTGTCCTACCGTCCTACCTCACTTTTGGGTCCATCCTTGCGATACTGACCTCCAGAATTAGGTTTAAATGAAAGCCAGAGGTACACATCACAGCCGTCCTGGGCAAGGTGTGGCCCAGCCGGGTGTCAGCGTCTCAGCTCCCGCCTCTCCGGCAATGTGCACTGAGAAGTTATCAGACTGTGTAAGACAGTTCCTCAAATAATCCAAAGCCTAACAGAACTGTGGAAAGCATAAATATAAAAATATTTTATATTACCTTTGTTTATTGTATGTGTCAGAGGTAGGTGCCATGGTGTGCCTATGGCCACGGCGGTCGGTTCTCTTCTTCCCCTGTGTGGGTCCCCGTATCAAACTCTGAGCCTCACGTGACAAGTCCTTTTACCCACAAGCCGTCTCTCCATCATCCAGTCCTGGCTGTCCTGGAGCTCACTCTGTAGACCAGGCTGGACTCAAACTCTCTGAGGTCTGCCTGCCTCTGCCTCCTGAGTGCTGATATTAAAGGCGTGCACCACCACACCTAACATTCAATTTTAACCCACGTATATTGCATGAAGCACCCTTTAAAGGACCAAAAGGGAAAGAAACAATTATGTTTTCTTTGATAACAGTATCCTCGTGAAGCTCTTAGCTGAGGGAGAATCGGAAGGGAAATTTATGAATCGGTGAATCATTTACTTTGCCGTGGTGACCGAAGCTTCCGGTCACACGCACGTCCAGAAGAGAACTCGAGAGGCTAAGCACAGCTGATGTGGACGTGTCATATGTCAATCTGTTGATTTCATTGGTTAAGCAATAAAGAAACTCCTTGGCCCTGATAGGTTAAAACATAGGTGGGAGGAGTAAACAGAATAGGATGCTGGGAGGAAGAGGAAGTGAGCTCAGACTCTGCTCTGTTCCCAGAGAGACTTGACAGCTCTGCTCTCTGGAGCAGACACGCCAGGCTCCGCTCTCCCAGGCAGCTCCGACCCAGGATGGACGTAGGCTAGGATCTTCCCCGTAAGCGCACCTTGGGGTGCTTACACACATTATTAGAAATGGGCTAGTCCAGGTGCAAGAGTTAGCCGAGAAGAGGCTAGATATAATGGGCAAGCAGTGTTTAAAAGAATACAATTTGTGTGTTGTTATTTCGGGCATGAGCTAGCAGGCGGCTGGGGTGCTGGAGACGCAGCCCCGCCACTCTTATTTCAACACACAGCTGCGTTTTCAAACCACTCGGCCAGTCACCCATCGAGAGCATCACTGAGCGCTAAGGAAGGAGTGAGAGCAGAAGAATAAACCACAGAGAAATCAGTTACGGACCTTGGGGTTGATAAGAAAACACCCTGCTTTTCTTTGACTAAGACTTCTACTGAGATGAATCCCATCTCCAAGCACAACGAGCGGACAGTACCCTTCATTTCTTGGACAGCGGAAGACGTTTGGACATTTCCTTAAGAGAGACTGGGCGAAAAGGAAAGAGGACATTATAAACTGTATGTAGATTCAACCCAGGTCTTCCTTTAAAAGGACGATGATAATTTTAAGTCAAATGCATATTTTTAAATCAAAATAAAGTCATGGTATAGTTAACCTATTTTTAGATTTTCTTTAAATATTATTTTCTTGAAAATATTAGCTCCGTCCTAGTAGGACTTGACATACAGCTCACTAACATCTTGACAAGGAGGTGGCAGGAGGGGAGGACACAGCATTGCTTTTTCAATCACGCAGAACCTTCAGCACAGACTGGAGTAAGACAAGTTTCCCAACAGACAGAGGCAAGTCTGGACACACTAGGGAAACGCGACTGTCTGTGTGAACAATGGAAGGGCGGGGAGGGTGGGAAGGGGTGGGGGTGGGATTTTTTTTTTTTTTTTTTTTTATGAAAAGCAGGAAAGACAAAGGAAGCTTCCCAATGGGTTTTCAGGGCGGAAAGTCTGCCAGGCCGCTGTAGCCAACGGCAGATGTGTGTGTCTCAGAGCAAGTATTTGCTAGGTACAGAATCACCAAGCATTTATTAGCATCATCTGAGAAGTTGAAGATGAACACAGTTTTGAATCGCGTTTTCTTCAGGTCGCATTCAGAGTTACATTCACATTACACATCTAAGGGCATTCTCTGTGCAAGCACAAATAAGGAATCCGCCAATCCGATGATCTCAGCTTAGAGCCTACACCTAGTGCTGCCTCTTTGTGGACAGTGCTGGCTTTATCCGAGATGTAAAATATTCAACCTCATAACATTATTTACAACAAAGTGTGTTACCTATTAGGAATTATTCCAAACACAAAATTAGCCCATTTCAACACTGACAAAACATATGTATATTTCATACATTTATGGACAAAGGCCCAGAAATCCTGAAAATGTACCTTTATACGCAAGGCAATCCTAAATCCAATCTTTTAAACTTACATTTTAAGCTTGCCTATCAAGAATCCTTTTAGAAATTTTCTGAGTATTCAACAAAAGAATGTTTTAACAATTTAATCTCCTTTCAAGGTATTTCTCTTGTAAATCCTGTAAGGAATTTCGTTTTGTTTTTCAGTCTCAGTTTTGAGAATCAACATTAGAAAGTCTGAGACTCTCTATTTACCATGAAAGAGTTTCAGAATTAACAGGTCTGTTAGTGAACACTTTATATAGGCCAGCCTAAAGTCCCATAAAACCAGTTTTGCTTTGTTCTTTTATTAGTCTCAAATTCAAATCCTTCAGGTTTTTTGCCTTTTAGCTAACTAATTTTTTTTAAAGGAAGTAAGGAAAAAAAAAACTCAAACAGAAGCAACAACTTTTATATATTAATGTGGTCCAAATATCACCCCAAACACTCACAAAAATTTTTAAAAGAAGACATGCCAAGAATAATAATGTTAGCATTAATAAGGTAAAAAATGTAGAAATAAACTGGACTCTGATGGGCTGTGTTAATTTTAAAATTGATAGAATTTGGACCGACCCGGGAGGTGTGACTCTGGGCAAGCCTGTGGGGAATTACCTTGGTTATGTGCGTTGAGAAGTCTTGCCCACAGTGGGCAGCTCCATTCCCTGGCTGGGATCCTGGACTGCCTAAGTGGGGAAGGGGCTGAGAAGCACCGTGCAATCTGCGTTGGTTCCTGACTGTGGATTCGGGGTAAGCAGCTTCTTAGGCTTCTGCTGCCTTGACCTCCTTGTCTCAATGAACTCTATTCCTGAAAGGTGAGCTAAGCCAAGCTTTCTACCTCATATTGCTCTGTCAGGGTATTTTGTCAGAACAACAGAGAAGACATGGCCAAAAGGTTGACATTCACTTATTAGGAGCGCCAGGTACAGGTGAGTTTGTCCCCTACTCTCTTAGGAACCATGTAAATCTACAGAGGCCTAGACAACTAGAGTTCTCCCAGGGGCACAGTGTGATATTTTGTCTGTGATCTAACACGGAAAACTTGCCTAAAGATCAGAGAGCAGAGCTAGCCACCCTAGTTAGCCGTAGAGCCAGTCAGTGGTAGCACGCTTCTTTAATCCTAGCACTTGGAAGACAGAGGCAGGCAGATCTCTGAGTTCAAGGCCACCCTGGGCTACGCAAGATTGAATCAGTCTAAGGGAGAAACAGAGCCAAGCGGTGTTGGCTCACACCTTTAATCCCAGCACTAGGGAAGTGGAGACAGGAAGGGATACAGCTGGGCAGAGAGAGGACTATAAGGCAGGAGACAGGAGCTCCTTGCGTTCAATCAGAGGATTCATAGAGACAGGATCCTGTGCTATTCAGTCAGAGGATTTTGTAGCAGTAAGACCTTGTGACTGGCTGCTCTGCCTCTCTGATCTTTCAGCTTTTACCCCCTAATATCTGATTCTAGGTTTTTATGATTAAGACCAATTAGAATTCGCACTACAGGGCACCATAATGTTAAAAACTTATTCTTTCCCATGGTTACACAGATCACAGTAGATATATTCTCGGCAACCTATTTCTGTTTCGCATGACTCAACAGAACCCCAAATCTGACCTCTCTGTCATACAGCAGACACTGACATAGTTTCAGGCCTTGTCATACAAAAGGCCTACGAGCCCAACTACTAAACAACTGGAGTGTCTAAGAACTCCAGCAAAGACAAAGCCAGTCACCAAATGGACGTCACTAAAATATGATTCAGATAGAACCCAAACAGCTCATCCTGACAGGAAGGGAAAGCCTGTGGTGCTCCAGTCAATCAGGGAGCAGCTCAGCTGTCAGTCAGCAATTAGGGAGAGAAACTCACCGGGGTCAGACTTCACAGGAATCCAGTACCGAGACCAAATGCTCATTTCTCAGCCTCGCCAGGCAGAGGTGAAAAGCAGCCTCTGCCAGCCTAAGTGGGCAGAAAGGAAACTCTCTGGAGTAAGGTGACCGTCACAGCCGCTGGGAGTCTGTCCTCTCCATTCGAGGTCAACTTGTGAGTGGCTGATGCTAAAAAGGTGTTCTTCTGGACTGGCTTGCCAAGATTGTTACTAGAGTTGTTAGGGGCAGAGTTTGTGCCCCGGAAGCCCTAAACAGAGCCAGGTTTGGTCGCTCATTCTCAACAGGCCAGTTTAAACGCAAAAACAGAAAAGGGGTCAATGTGGCTCCATGAGGAATTAAAAACATCCAGTGACCCCCAGCAAGTCCATTTTGTGGTCCTGGCAGCTGTGTGTGTTTAAATAAAGAGTTGAAGGCGGGCACAGCCAAGCCGTCCAAGCAAGACCAGGCCCCGCCCATCTCTGATCCGTCATTGTCTAGACTCTAATCTCTCCCGCAAAGTGATAATCAGACAATTTGTCAGAACGTGACACCTCTTTCAAGGGACAAGCTCCACAGTGTGTGACACCAGGCTTCAGACTCCTCCCAGCGTGGGATTTCTGGACAAATCCCAACTCCACGGTGCAGTCTCATAAGTGCGGTAGACAGGCACAGGTGCGTCCTAACAGCCAGGTCAGTCACAGTCTGCTCTCGCTCACCTTCCCTGAAATGCCTCCGACTTTTACCCAGATCTCCACAGGGTTGTGCGAAGCAGACTTTTCTCAGATTGCTTCCAGGTCACCACGTGCCTTCACCCGTCGGGGCTGGCTCAGCCTGATTGCTAATATCAAATCTTTCATTTTATAGATTTTATCTCTATCCTTTTAAAACCCAATCCACTCGTTCTGATATTTTTATTTTCTTTCTCTTAATGTGTCATTCATTCTTCCATTTCTTTAAGAATGTCTTCAGCTCTTATAACTGTATTTAGCCCGTGTCATCTGAGGGCCTGGGCCTAGCTGGCTTCCTGACTTCCTCTGGCTTCTGTGTATCTGGCTTGTTTTCTTATGTGCTCAGTGATTTGGGATTGCAGCCCTAGGCCATCTTGAACTCCACCTAAGGAGAACTGCACCTCAGGAAAATGTTACTTTCTGTGGCTTTTGTCAGGTGCTCAAGGACCCTGTCACCTTGGAAACACATGATGGGATTCATTTTTTTTCTGGCCACACAGGTTGGACTCTGAAGCTTAACTAAGTTTCTCCTGCTCCACCTGGAGCCACATCCCAGCAGGAGGCTCCTGTGCAGCCCTGGGACTAAGTTCCTCCTGTTCTGTCTGGAGCCACGTCCCAGCAGGAGGCTCCTGTGCAGCCCTGGGCTTCCAGCTTTACACGGAGCAGCCAAGGATGTTCTCTCTTTTGGGCCTTCCCTTCAGTGATGTGGAATTCCCCTCTGTATGCTGTGAATATGTTTTATTATCATTGGTTGATAAAGAAGCTGTTTTGGCCAATGGCTTAGCAGAGTAAAGCCAGGGCTGAGTGAAGGAAACATCATGTAGCTGATGAAGGAGAAAGATGCCAGAACCTTACCAGTAAGCCACAACCTTGTGGTGACAGATTAATAGAGTTGGGTTAAATTAGGATGTAAGAGCTACCTAAGAATACGCATGAGACATCAGCCAAACAGTGTAGTAATTAATATAGTTTCTGTGCAATTATTCAGGTCTGGGCCTTCAGAAAATGAACAAACATCCTCCTCTTATACTTCAGTATCTCACTAAGGTGCTCAGTAGGAACTTTTGGAAATGGCTTTTCCATCTCACTTTAGCTACGGGTCATACATCCTTGTTGAATTAGAGGGTCACATGTCCTTGTCATGCTGAAGGTTTCCTGTTTCATGCATGCTCCAAAATACTTTTTAAAAGTCTATTAGTTTAAAAGCATCAATACTCAGTCACGCTTGTGGGTTGGCTGAGATGGCAGGCCCTAGTATGTGAGAACCCAGCCAACTAGGAACCATGTTGCTGCCAAAGCAGAATACCCTGAAGACTTCCACTTCTAAGATAACCGTGCACCTGCTTTAAAATGAGCATCCTGGCTTCTGGTGGTGAGTGAGTGAGTGAGTGTGTGTGTGTGTGTGTGTGTGTGTGTGTGTGGTGTGCCTACATGCGTATGTGTGTGCACCTGCATATGTGTGTGCCTGCATGTGTGTGTACCTGCATGTGTATGTGCTTGCACCTGCAAGTGTGTGTGCCTACATCCTTATATGTGTGTACCTGAATGTGTATGTGTGTGCACATGCATGTGTGTTTGTGTGCATGTATGAGGTTTTCTTCTCTGTTGAGCCTCACCTTCAGTGTGGGCAGTACACCGTCTGGGTTTATGTGAGAGTTGCAGGGATCTTCAAAGAAAGGGAAGAGGTAAATGGGGTGACTGAGAAACCCACTCCAATGGACACCCAGAAAACCTCTTTTCTTTTCCTAAAGAAATTAGAGGGAAAGCCGATGGTTCTCCTACACTGCAGAATGTTTGGCTTGGGACTTCCTTAGAAGTCCCGTTGCTCACTGTGATGACGGCTGTCTGAAGGCATGGCTGGCTACCCAGCACGTCTTTCTTCTGTTCTCTTTGTGTGCCAGTTGAGGGCTTAATAACAAAGACTTCACATCCTACCCTGTTCCTAAGCGGTGCCATCAGCAATGGACAGATGTCCTCTACTGGAGACACACAGTCTGACGATAGAGCTTCTGGGTCCCATGTGTTTCTAGGTGCATTTGAGGGGGTCTGACATGTGGAAAGTTCTGGAAGATTTGTGTATCAGTGGAGAGGAAAATTCAGAACACCTCTAATAATCTGTGAGCGTGGATATACATTGTTGAAATAAGGGAAGAGAAAGAGAGAGGGGGAGAGCTTGGAACTAGGTGCTGGGTGTTGAAGAGGCTTCATAGGCCTGTGGGTGGAAGAGGCCTGAAGAGCTAGGGGGCCTTGGCAGAATGGAACCCATTGCTGCAGGAAAAAGGAACACACACACGGACCTGTGCAGCGATCTGAAAACAATGATAAAATGAACCAAAAAGCCAGGGAGATGGAAAGAGCCTGAGGTTCTGAGTTTAGATCCTTAGCGCCCACAAAAATGCTGTCAGGTCCTGTGGCCACCTGTAATCTCAGCATTCAAGAGGCATAGATATGGCATCCTTGGGGCAAGCTGGCTAGCTAGCTAGAGTAGCCAGAATTGGAGGTCTGTGGGTCCTGTGAGAGACCTGTCATGACACATGAAGTAGAGAGACAATGTCAGCTTTAGGCCTTGACATGCTCACACACATATGTGAGTCCACGCATACATGCGCATGCACGCACACAGAGTAACCATACAGAACAGGAGGTCAAGATAGGATCGACGACCGTGTGACCATCCATCCACAGGGCAGGCCGTGAAATCTGTCAACAAGAGCAGCCTCTGGAGTCAGGAACAGCACTGGATCATCCAGACTGTGCAGACAGGGCACCCATTAAACCAAATTCCTAATCACTAGGGTCTCATGGTGCCCTGTGCGCCCTTCAGAGAGGTAGCGTGTTCTGTAACAATTATACCTGTGAAGCTATTGAAAACTGGGAAAGCAAACTGAGTTATCTGTTCATGCAGCCAACTCACAGTATTCGTCTTCATCTGCTGTCATTTGTGTTGCTTGCTGTCGTGTGGATGCGTGTAAGCTTCCTATGTCAAGCATTTCACTTTACCCTAGCAGGGAGGAATGAATACCTCTGGTGTTGGCAACCCTGGCTCTCTCCTTATCCGCTAATCTTCCCAATGCTGTTGGAGTGTGGCGCCCCCTGGTGGCAGGATGGTCTGCAGGACTAGTTTCCTTCACGTTAGCAGCATGGCTGGCTTCAGACCAGTGAGTGGCAGACCCTGCTGGGGATCTTGCTTGGCTTAGGCTCTCCAGAACCCCAACCCTTGACATACCTGATGACTAGATCAACAGTTTAATCTGCCACCTAGCTGAGATGGGTGGGGCTTCATGCCCAGGCTGGATCTAGGTCCTCTGAGGGTTTCCTGTCCAGATGTGTTTTTGTGTCCAAAATTTACTTGTCCACACCCCAAGATCCACAGAAAGCCCAGGGATTCATGGCTGACACCACTGCTTTGAGTCTTTTGTCATTTTCAAGTCTCTAGACCTCAGTATAAGGTGAAGGGTGAAGGGTTTATCTGT